CTATTTATTTTCCTTACTGCTTGTTCTTTTATGCCCCATTTTGCTGAGGGTCAGGCTTCTTAAAGCCCTTGGGCTGTAGATGGCTGCTTCTTGTGTTTCTCAGGACAGAAGAGGATGAGATCTCTGCAGGGCAGAAGGGGCAGCTGCTGTGCCCACATGTGCTGCAGTGGCAGGGCAGGATGGGCTCCTTGGCCCCTACCCTGGAGTAAACTAAAGATACTAATGATACTTTTGATGCTGGTGATAGTAATGGAGATTGGAGCGGGGCAGGTTCAGAGCTTGTGGTTGACTTCATCAGGGTGTGGTTTGAGCCAGGGATAAGATTTGTAATGATTTAACTTGCTTGCTAGGGAGAGACCCCTGCCAAATGGTTTTTAATGACTGTGTGTGGTGAAGGAAGGAGTTAAAGTTTAGCCCTGTTGCAGACGATTGCATATGTAGTGCAGCTCTAACTCGGTAACACCACCAGCCTTCCCTCATTGTTACAAGGCTTTTCCCAGGCAGACAAACCTAAAAATACACCAGCTGTATAGTGAGGCTGACTCTCCTGTGGCCTGCGGGCTTTTCTCTCAGCTGGATAATCTCCCCCTTTCTCCCCTTTGCTAATTACCCACATCTCGGCAACTCTTGCATTTGAAAATGGAGCCGGTTCCTTCTCGGTCCGTTTAATATCACTGGGAGAGATTGCAGGTAAAGACCAATTTTAGATGCTATTTCTGCTTTTGGGGATCAGTTATATGGGGGTTTTAATTCCTATCACTTCTCTCTTCCAGCCTCCCTTGTAGAGTAGTCCTCTTTGGTAAGACTGTGAAGTTCTTAGGGCAGTTTTCAACCTTGTCCCACTGCTCAACAGCAGCTTCTTTCCAAGAAAAATTATGCTTTCCCTAGTTCTGGGGATGCAGACCTACCTGGGACCCTCGTAGTTGAGTGGGACTCCTCCTGGGATGGAGATCCTGCTGGGGTCTTGGTGATGCAGGAGTAGGGATGGCAGGCAGGTCCCTGGGTGCCACATGTGCACCTCTGTGCTCCCTGGCGTGCTTTGAACCCCGGCTTGGCTGGTTCTGTGAGGACTGTCACTTTGTAGCCAAACCACCCGTGCTGTTGGTGCTCTGGACTTGCTGCCCGGGCGAGTGGAGAGCTGGTCCTCAATGCTCTGTCCAGTCTTTGCCTTTTAAGGTTAGTTTTCCCAACTCAGTACTCCAGCTTTGTGCTATTGAAACTGATGATTATTTTCCCCAAGTATCATCTTCTATCCCAAACTCAGGTTTCTGGCTGTACTGCAGTTCTGGGAAGCTGTAGCCTGGGGGGATGAATGCTGCTGGCCTCTTGCTACCTCTTTAGCAGTGAGCAAGTGGGACACAGGCATTTGCAGGGCAGGCTGATGGCTTTTTGATGAAAGGCTCTTTTGAAGCCTGGGTTCCTGTGAGTTGGCTGTGGCGAGGCAGGCAGCCCCATCCAGGTCATGCAGCAGCTGCGACCATCTCAGTGTGGCCACTTCTGAGGTGAAACCACAAGTAAATGTCCTTTCTGGCATGGGGTGAAAGGGGCTGGGGCGGATTTGGTGATTGCATGTTTGCTTCATGGGCTTTGTTTCTGTTGGCAGGTTTCTGGCTTATATACATGTATATATGAATATGTGTGTGTATGTGTATAGAAAACAAAATGCAAGCCTGCAGTGCTGTCTCGCTGTTGGTGTGGTCCTGCTGTGGGGTGAGCCAACCCCATGTGGGGATGCTGTGCTGCAGGATGCTCTGTGCTGCATCTCTTGCTGCCCATGCAGCGTAACACGGTGTAGTTTTGGTCCTGCTGTCCCAGTAGGCACGTGTGCATCCAGGCTGGGGTGTATTCTTTTATTGCAGCTTGTTTCAGGGCTGGGCTTGGCTCCAGGGTGTCTGCTCAGGGTTTTCCATGCTTTTGGGCTGTGGTGGTGGCGTGTGTGGTGTAGGTCTTGCTTCCTAGTGTCACTTGCATGATGGTCTTTGGCTGGGTTCTCCCTGGGGCAAGATGCTACTTGAAAGCAGCCCTATGGGGTTTGGGTGCTGCGTGGTTTAAAGTGAGTGCTGGTGGAGGAGCTGCACTGCCCTCAGCTGTACTGTGACCTCTCCGAAGGGGCTGGATGGGAGGGAAATGCCCTTTGGCCCCTGTGCTGCTCCTCCATGGCTGTTCCCGTGGGCAGGGAGCTGGGGCCATGCAGGCGCCTGTGCTCAGGTGCAGGGCTGCCTGCTGCCTCCACCTCTGCAGGCGTGGGCCCCACTTTAATTTGATCCGAGTGTCAGGTACCCAGATACTGAAGACAGGAGACAAGCTAACCTTTCCTGCTGTTTTTTTAATAATCGCTGCAATGGTTTTAAGCAAAACCCCTGCTGGCGTCAGGGCACTAGGATGAGATGTTGCTGCTAATGTATATTTAGGAGCAGAAATCTCAGAGGAGCTCTGCAGTGTCATCTCTCTGCTCGCCCCAGCTCTGCCTTGCTTTGCTCATGTTCTAGCTCCTGAGTAGCAGTTCCCTACGTTAATTTGGGAATCTCCTCTTGGGCTTTCTAGCCGTGCCTTGTGGCAGCAGCCTGACCTCCAGCTCTCCTGCTCCTTGAAATAGAAGCGATGAATCATAGAAAGTGACTTCCCTGTTGCACTCGCCCGTCCCACCAGGACGATGCTCTGGCTGGCATCCCCATGCTTCGGCCTCCACCACCTTCCCCACTCTTTCTCCTCTCTGCAGTGTGTCTTTGGCATGTGAACAGAGTTCCATGTCCATCTCCTTGGGAGGGAGCTGGCCCTACTGCTGCTGGAGGGGCTCAGCCCTATGGTTTCCGGCGGCAATGGTGAGAACGTTCTTGGGGTGGGAAACCTCCCTCTGGCAGGAAGCGGTGCTGCCTGCCTTGCTCACGGCTCGCTGAGGTGACTGGTGGGTTTGTGCTGGCTGCGTGGCTTGGTCCCACACCTTGGTGTGGTTTGAGGCTAATAAGCTCTGATCTGGGGTGCTTGTGGTTACGCTGTTACGCTGGCAAGCTCATAAAAATGAAGAACGGGAGACTAGGAGCATGCAGGTGATTTCTGGGGCTGGTGACTCCGTGCTTTGGTTGTTTCCACACCCATGGAGCTCTGAGGCACTTGGCTGTGATCTCTGTTGCTCCTATGGTTGCCCAAGCCTCCCTTGGAAGGACGTGTTGGGGGTGGTGGAGGGGAGCAGCGTTATGAGTGCGTGTGCAAGGCAACACCGATGGAGACAGATCTGCAGAGAGGGTTTGGAAGTGGTGTGAAGGCTTTTCCCAAAGTGCTGGAGTCCGAGCGCAGCTGGCAGAGCTGAAGGGATGACTGGGGCTGGGCTTGCCCTGGGAAGGGAAAGGAGGGTTTCATATTTGTTGGGAGTGGGATAAGGTGGGGAAAAAGCCTCTCCCTTCCTTCTAAACTCTTCCTGGCTGGCTCCCTGGCTTGGAATGGAGGCAGCAGAATTGAAGGATGCTATACAGGGGGTTGGGGCCCAGTGGTGATGCAGCCACTGACCAGTGATGGTGCAGCCCCCCAGTGTCTGTGTGGGGCCTGGCCAGTGGGTCCCACAGCCCTGCTGAGTGCAGATGGCCAAGTTCTGGGGTAGCCCTTTGGCCCCAGGCAGCTGGGATGCTGGCAGAGCTGTGCAGGCACCTCAGGCTGTATTCCCTACCTGTGCCACTCCCTGGTGGGGATCCTGGGCTGAGTCAGAGAACACTGATAAGGAGAGGGAGCTTTTCTCCTCCCTTGCTATAAGAGCACCTTATCTGACACCGCTGAGGTAGAGAACTGAGGGATGAGCTCATGTTCTGGCCCCAGCCCCACATTAGCCCAGGGATGCTTGTGCCTGTGGAGGGGGGGAATGGAGAGGATGGGGAGGGGGTTGCAACTGAGAGGCTGCTGAGCAGACAAAGAGGGCAGGTGGCTCCCTGTGGCTCCTTCCCCACTGCTGGGGATGCAAAGGTCACACTGGTGTGAGGTTTTGGCTGGCTCCCTGCTGCTTTGCTGCTCCGTGTTGGCCAGCCACAGCTGTGGCACAGCAGCATGCAGAGCTCTCCATTCTCCCTGCATGTGCCCCCTCATCCCCCCACAGCCTCTCAATCCAACTGCCTGATGACTGACCCTGTGCTTCTTAATGCATACAAATGCCAGAAGGACGTGCTTCTCCTTGCCGTGCCCGCTTGCTCCCCTCAACTCCTCCTGCCCACAGCCCTCCTGGGCTTTGTCAGGCAGGCAGGTGGCAGGGACAGCAGGCAACATGCCAGGGCTCTCTGCTCTTCCAGCTCCTCCACGAGGTCCTCCCCTGTGTAGGGGCTTGGGCTGTGCTTCCTCCAAACTGGGGTTTTGCATCCCCTCCCAGTGCCATGGCTGCAGGGCAGCAGGTTTGGGGCTCCTCTTGCAGCTTGTTAGCAGCCATCCCCGGCTAATGCTGCGGTGCTGCTGGTGGTCTTAAAAGCAGGTGGGGGCCAGCAATGCCCTGCTGAGGTGTTTGTGTGCAGTAAGTGTGCTGGGCACATCCTGAGGCTGCCAGGGGCGTGTGGGTCTGGTCCAGCCAGCAGCTGCAGGCAGGCTCAGGCTGCTGCTGCTCTTCCTGAAGGAGCTTGGGTGGGGCCAAGGGCAGAGTGGTGGCCCTGGGAGGGGGCCACTGGCTGGTGGTTGGGACTGGGGTGGTGAGACAAAGTGGGTGGCAGCTCCTTGATTGGAGCATGCTGTGCACAGCAGTGTGTGAGCTGGCAGGGTTGTCCTTAGGATCTTGCAGTCTCCCTTGGTCCCCGTACTGGGGATGCATCTTCTTCCAGAGCAAGAGGTGGCGGGGGGCATTTTGTTAGGCTATCTGCTAGAAAAGTGTGAAGCAGCAAAGCCTCTGTTGGGTGGGATGGAACA